TCATTAACCAATGAAAGCAATACAAAGACAGAAGAAACTCCTACATCAGTTCAGATTTCCCCCAGTTGGCCAAAACAGCTTTATTTATCAATCAATAAAAGCAACACATATACAGAAGGATGTCCCACCTCAGTATATCACAAAATTAGTCTATTTCTTTAATTTCACTTAGTCATTTACAAACTATATATTTAAGTATATAGTTGTAGTTATAGAAGTTGCTTTATGAAGAAGTTACATCTTTGTGGAAATTCAAAAATACTCTGTAAACTTGACATGCTGCAGATTTAAAGCATTTAAAGTAAAGGCTCCAACCAGTGGGGAGATTTTCTTACACATTTTTTAAACAGACAAAAACAGATCAAAAGTGTCAAGGTTCAATTTAGGAAGGATTTATTTCTTTCATCTCTTCTAATGTCATCACTGCAATTCCTGAAAATATCTACCAAATCATCTAGTGGACTATTGAAAGGAAAAAATATTAATACAACCTAATATCTTTGTGATTCAGTTTTTCCTCCTTCTCATAAGGCTGTACACGGTTATATAGAAATCTTCTCTTTAAGCCAGAAATCTTATAAGGATAATTTATGGTAACATTTATCTCATTATTTGTAAAACACTTCTATTTCTTTGTAGTTAAAAATTTCCCTTTGTGCTTTAGTATTCAACTTAATTTACAAACCTATATTGTTTTGCTTGCAATAATTTGTTTAATTAGCCATTAAAACTGAGTAAAAATAATAATGGCTAAAAACAACACCTTTTAAAGATTTTTCTGCATGTCTTTCTAAGAGTGTGCAGTGACTCATTAGAGGAACTGTACAGATACCACTTTGGTGTACTACTTACATTGCAATAATAAGAAAGCAATTATCATATATTTGACTGCTAGGTCTGACAGTCTCCTTTTAACACTTCTATGGCATTGGTGTTAACCCCAGCCCCCAAAATGCCTTATGTGGTATTAGGAAACTCAATATATTTGTGGAGGGGCAAAAGCAATTTATAACTAGTAGCAAATTAGCATTAGAATTGGAGCATGCTAGCTTTTCATGTTAAGTACTTTTAACCACTGTATGATGTAACTAATGCTATTAAAGAATACTATAACCAAACTCAAATCTCTGCACAAAAGGAAGTAAAAATAAAATAGTTAAGATTGAAGGAAAATATTTGCAAACCATACAGCTGGCAGGGTTTGATATCTGGAACATGTAAGAAAATCAAATAGATAGAACGAGAAAAAGTATCTCAATTTTATATTATGGAGTGGTTACTAACTTCACATTTTTAGACAGTTTTTTGAACATTTTAGATGAGATACAGTTTTTACTCAAAAATACTTTACTCTTTATTTTATATAAGGTAAGTAAAATGTAAAAGGCAAAGATACATACATGTGTGTGAGTATTAGGAAACTCAATATGTACATATATGTATATATGTATGTCCATGTGTGCCCATGTGTGTGATTCACCTGTACATTCATTGCCAATATGTACAAGTATGTATGTATGGGTGTAAGGCAAATATTGATAATGTGCAATCTTCTCTGTGTTTCTCCAATATATTTTTGAGACATGGTCTCTCCACTGCAACCCAAGTTTACTTATCACCTAGACTATCTAGATATTGAAGCGTGGGCTCACTTGGCCAAATTATCTAACTAGCAAGTTCTAGAGACATGCCTGTCATTGCCATCACCATTCATTGCTGGAATTTTATAGGGGTGCTGGGGTTCTAAACTCAGGCCTTCATGATTGCACCACAAGCACTATCGAGAGCCTTAAAGATTTTTGCCTTTATGACTGCCTTTCAAGGTTCAATTAAAGATGCCACAAGGGGGTGGAGAGATGGCTCAGCGGTTAAGAGCATTGCCTGCTCTTCCAAAGGTCCTGAGTTCAATTCCCAGCAACCACACGGTGGCTCACAACCATCTGTAATGAGATCTGGTGCCCTCTTCTGGCCTTCAGGCATACACGCAGACAGAATATTGTATACATAAATAAATAAATAAATAAATATAAAAAAAGATGCCACGAATATTAAAGTGGGGCTCAAAATATGAGGGTCAGACATTTGAGGGGTAAAGAAGTCTACTCATGACAGGTTCTGCCTGTCATGCCTTTATTCCTCTCTCCATCCTTATTCTTCCTTATTCTCTCTTGTTCTACATAGTTTTCAGTTCCTAGTTCTGCAACGTTCTTTCTTGTCCTCCTCGTTACAAATGTTCCCAAACATATGTACTCCTAACCAGAAATTCCCCAGCCCTAGCATATTCCAGGCCTAGAATTCTTTTGCCCCATTGAAAATCAGATAAGTCTTCTTATGTATACACACAGATCCATGGGAATGGCTAGTCCATGTCCAGTGAACTCTTAATGGAGAACATTAGTTCAGAAAGGAATTAAATCATCAGGGGATTCTAGAAGGTGAGTGTGCTATGCTCCCTCTTTAAGTGATTAGAAAGATTTATTTTCACTAAGTAGAGAAGTGGGCATTCTACCCAGACTACTTGCTTCTACTAGGGGAGAGAGCCTAGTAGATTCACCATGAACTGCATCCTTCCTACAGAGTCTCAGTGAAGGAAAAGTAGGAACCTAAAGTTCCATTCATCTGAGGCAGTAAATCATCTGATTTCCTTTTGTTATTTTAATGTGGCATCCTGCTTGAACAAGAGAAACATAATCTACAAACATAATCCCCAAAGTGTCTTCATAATAGTCATCCATCATACTACATCCCAGATAAATCACTGCTTCAATAAGAAATGACAATATATAGTACCATAAGATGTTGAGGCTCTGAAATTATAATTGTCTTTCAAAAACTCTGAGTAAATGTCAAAAATATGTGAGAGTGGTCAGGAAGGGAGTGGGCTGAAAGCAGGACTATAATCCCAGTTCACAGGCTGTGTCAGAAAGATCACAAGTTCAATGCCTGTCTAGTCTACTGAGTGATTTCAAACGGAGCCTGAATCACTTAGTATGGCACTGTCTCAGAAATTAAAAGTTCTCAAAGGCTGAGGACGTAGTTTACTTTTGTGTTTGGTGTATATGAGGTTGTAAGAGATTGGTTTTTTTTTCATTTCCTGGATTCAATTTGCCAGTATTTTATTGAGAATTTTTGCATCGATGTTCATGAGCAAGATTGGTCTGTAATTCTCTCTCTTGGCTGAGTCTTTGTGTGATTTTGGTATCAGGATAACTATAGCTTCATAAAAGAGTTTGGCAATGACTCTTCTGTTTCTGTTATGTGAAACACCTTAAGGAGTACAGATTTCAGCTCTTCTTGGAAGTTCTAGTAGAATTCTGCATTGAAACCATCTGATCCTGGGCCTTTTTTGGTAGGGAGGTTTTTGATGACAGCTTCTATTTCCTCACGACTTATAGGTCTATTGAATTGTTCCCCTGGTCTTGATTTAATTTTGGTATATTGTATTTATTTAAAAACAAGTCCATTTATTTTACATTTTCCAACTTTGTGACATATAGGCCTTTGTAGTAAGACCTAATGATTCTCTGAATTTCCTCAGTGTTTGTTGTTATGTCCCCCTTTTTATTTCTGATCTTGCTAATTTGCACTTTCTCTCTCCACCTTTTGATTAGTTTGGATAGGGGCTGGGCTTGTCAGTCTCGTTCATTTTCTCAAAGAACCAGCTCTTTGTTTCATTGATTCTTTAGATTGTTTTCTGTGTTTCTATTTTGTTGATTTCAGCCCTCAGTTTGATTATTTCCCGTCTTCTAATCCCCTTGGGTGAGTCTGCTTCTTTTTTGTCTAGAACTTTCAGCTGTGCTGTTAAGTCACTAATGTGAGCTTTCTCTGTTTTTTTATTGTGGGTACTTAGAGCTATGAACTTTCCTCTTAGCACTGCTTTCAGAGTGTCCCATAGGTTTGGGTATGTTGTGTCTTTATTTTCAGTGAAGTCAAGGAAGTCTTTAATTTCTTTCTTTATTTCTTCCCTGACCCAGGGGTGGTTCAGTAGTTGACTGTTCAGTTTCCATGAGTTTGTAGGCTTTCGGGCGGTAGAATTATTGTTAAATTCTAACTTTTATCCATGGTGATCCGATAAAACACAGATGGTTACTAAATTTTTTTTGTATCTGTGGAAGTCTGAAATAATCACACAGAAACTATATTAATTACAACACTGCTGGCTCAGAATTATTATTAATTAACTCTCACATCTTTAATTAACCCATTTCTATTATTCTGTGTATTGTCACAAGGCTGTAGCTTACCAGGTAGAGTTCCAGTATCTGTCTCCTTTGGCAGCTATGTGGCATCTACCTGACTCCACCTACTCCCTCTCTCTCTATGCCTCTTCCATCCTGGCTATATTTTGCTTTGCTATAGGCCAAAGCAGCTTCTTTATTAGCCAATGATGATAAAACATATTCATAGCGTATAGAGGGGAAATCTGTATCATCATGATACTCTCTGAGGTTCGATAACCAGTCCTACAGGAAAAAAAAAAGCCACAGTATACAAAAAATGTCCTTTAAGTTATTGCAAAATGTTAGGGTGTCTCAGCCAAGAAACCTAAGACATAAGAAAATTATGAAACAGATAAAATCAAAAATGGAACGACAAAAGGAAAGACTAGGCTCTTTCAGTGGGAAGATGAGGATTAATCCAGCTGAGCAATAAAGGTCAAACAGGGGACAATGACACTCATTTTCCATCTCTTCTTGAAGTTCTTCCTCTATTGAGCTAGTCTTTGATAGTAAGTGTGAAGGGTAGACCCCTGGGGAAGAGTTCTGCTGTGAACTCTTAGTTTGTTTCCCTAAGGAGCAAAGTCATAGGCTCTTGCTCACGTTGCCAGTATCAGAAATTGAAAACTGAAATGAGAAAGTATTAGACCAGAGAAAACACTGGCTTGGGCTGTAATCTTTCTACTTAGTCACACACATCAGACCTTTTAATGAGTTATATCATGTAACAAAGACCCTTCTCTTTTAGGCTGAGTTCTCTTAAAAAAGGTTTGAGTTTCTTACAAATTCAGGCTCATAAATCCATGTATCCATTCATGAGATTTCTCTAGACATCCAGTTTTCTCTGATTCCCAACAACAATTTGAGTGAAGTTACTTGGTGTCTTTGAAATAACATCATCCTTATAGTTGGTCTTTTTTCCTAGTAATTATGAAAGGGAGAAAGTTAACCATAAACACTGAATCAACAGCATTGTAATACTAAAAAACTAAATAAAAAGAGGGGGATATTTATTATTTCTCCCAGTGATGAGAATTACTCATGAGCAACCTGTGTTGATTGAAGATTTGGTATTTGTTTTCTTAAGGAAACTGAAGTCCACTAATATATACAGTAAGAAAAAGAATAATATTCACGCTACTGTTAAACACTTCATAAACTATTATACTTAAGTGATTTTTGTGAAATATCATAGTTAGCCCTCAGAGAACTCATAGATTACCCAAATATTTGTTCATCTGGGGATGAGGAAAGTTCAACTTATGGAAGTTGAATAGTTTGCGAGACACTGTATGTGGTGAGGCCTTGAGTCAGGAAAAAACTCAGGTCAGCTTCTTTCCCAAATGGTTCTCGTTGCCCTTTCCTTCCTCCCTCCCTTCACTTCCTTCCCCCTCCTCCCCTTCCTCCCTTTTGTTGATCCTAGCAATTGATCCTAAGATTTTGCACATGGTAAGTGAACACTGTACAGCTAAGCTGTGTTCCCAGCCTAGGATCTATACTTTTAGAAATAGCTTACTCTTTGCTGAGAAAGTGTTCCCACTAAAATTTGAGGATCATTGCTGTGATTAGACAAGGAACTGTAGAGTAGGAGGAAAACACTATCTCAGATGACCTAGGAAAAATGACCCCCACCTTACTGAAACCCAGCCAAATCAGTGCCCCAACAGTGATGAATTCATTAATACATTCAGAATCCGACCTTTGGTTGTTTTTTTCTACCATTGATTCTGCTACTATGCCTATTATACAACATAAAACAAAGCTGTCTGTGTACACTAGAGATACTGCTTCAAATGCAAGGGATCTTAGGAACACATTACATTCAATTAAATAGGCCACTTTTTTCTTTTCTAGAAAAAAAAATGGAATAGGAGAGCTGTTTTCCAAAAGCAGAATATGACGGATAATGAGGAGCAAAGAATGAAGGGTAGGAGGTGGGCAGAGAAGGAGACAGAAGGAAGGCAGAAAAAGAGGGAGGCTGTATTCCGCAGTGCTGGAAATACAATTTAAAAACAAGAGGCCAGGTGTTCCCAAGATAAACTAAATGTGCTTTGCAATTGAGCTCAGAGCCAGCCCAGAAAAGAACAAGTCCATTATGAGACTCAGCTACAAAGGGGTAGTCAGTAAGAACTACATGAACGGCATGTGTGTTTTTGAAGTTGCTATTACAAAGACCTTGGGAACAGAGGTCTAGTCCCTGGATAGTTATTCCAACATGAACAACAAAAGAACACTATGTAGGCTTTAGCATGCGGACACTTGTGATTTACTTCAAAAAAAGCCTGCCAGAGATTATTGTGATGTTCTCTGTCTGGCTTTGCAGTTATCCCAGGCAGCAGGCCAAAGATAAAGACCACTTAAACATTATTTGGAAATGAAATGGCTACTAAAAAGGATATAGTTGTATGTTAAAGAGACACTAAGCCATTTTGAGTCAACTAAGTTAGGTCTGGGGCAAGAATAAATGAATACAAATGGGGAATGATATTTGTCTTAGATGTGATCTTTTAAGGGTCCCGTGAAAGGCCACTAAGGAGGTAGTGAGTTGTCAAATCTCTGTCATAAATGCATATCTAAGTAGTACTTAAGTTGCCTGACATTCGTATATATCAAGTGAAAAGTAGCATCCTAGGATTGAAAAACAGTGTATGAATTCACATTTCCAAAGGAGAATGAAGAAATGATATAAGGAAATGAAAACAGCAATAGTGTTCAAAATAGAGTTTTCAAACTATAGTGATGAAGGCTATGAATTTAGAACAATGAGTGACATTTCCCACACAAATTCAAGAATCAGAAGGAAAAAAAAACTAAAAGAAAGCAACAGAGCCAGAATTTCTTGCTATATTTTCTTATAATGTGTAGAATAATATTATAAGGATTTTTATTAAATACTTGCCTTTTAAGTTCCAGTTCTTGAAGTCATATAGCTATAGTTTGAAGAGCACTGTAAGGTTAATAGAGATTAAAGCTAGAGAATAAATGAACAGGCAGACAGACAGATAGACACACAGCTACATAGATACATAGACAAGTAGCTAGATATTTGATAGGATTTAGAGAGATTATTGACGGTGGTTACGTTGGCTAAGAAACCTGCTACAAGCCACATGTAAGGTGAAAGGTGGAGAAGCCAAAACCATCACACCTTGCTGTCCAAGTCTCAAGGGCTCAGAACCGTGGAATCTGATGTCATAACATATTAATCGTTCCTGAAAAACTGAGTATTTGCTTCGGTGCATCCTGAAGTTTAAAATTGAAGAAACTGAAATTCTCATGGCTAAAGAGAAGTAAACAGAGGTTAGAAAGGTTGGGAAGAAGATAGAAGAGGGCAAGAAAAAGAATAAATATGAATTTGCCTTTCTTTGCCTTTTTGCTCTATCTAGATTGAATAGCTCTTGCTCACATTAGGTGAGAAAGAGCTTGTTTATTTATTCCATTCACTGAAAAACAAATATTTCTTAGAACCACCCTAGGAGAAGAAACACCAAGAAAATGGGCTTTAAAAGCTATATGGATGTCTCTAATACAGCAACGCTGAAATCTACGTACAGGCACTACAAGCCCACTCTATCAGTGTGACACTTTGTGAATTTTCTCACACCATAGTAAATATTTAAGTAAAGACAATAAGCTCACAATTGTGCCTAACATGATATGACTCTGATCTTTAGAAAAAAAATGACATTAATTTCTCTGAAAGAAAAGGAGGTGAAGACCTTAGCAAATTTTATATTTGTGTGAGATTCTACAGCTAAATCACTATGTTGTAAAATTAATAAAATGTAAATACTGATAGAAATTCAATGGAGATTGCATGTAAATATATGCCAAAATAGAAACAAAAATACATATTTATTTAATATATGATAACATGATTATGTTTAGTAAAATAGATGCAATGCACACAGCAGTTGAAGTTCTCGTGTTGGTAAATGTCAGTAAGCAACTGTAGCTGCCCTTTATAGGTAGCCCTTTCCTACTATGGATTCTATATTCCCTTTACCTTTAGGCAATACCTCAGATATCTACAATTCCTTACCTGATAGGGTGACACAACCCATCATTTTTAAAGTCTGGTCATTTGGAGTCCTGTCCGGAGCTGAGTTGCTGAAGCTTCACATTGGCCATAATCACGGTGCAGAGCAATGCTAAAAATTGAAATCAGAACTTTTTATGTTTCACAAACACTCTTTCTTCCATTACTGAGTAGCGGTCTAGTTTCTTCTCAGTAGTCAGGCCCTCGGTCAACACTGCAACTCCCTTCTTAGGTGTTGGTGGTACAGACATGTTAGGAGGATGAAGTTTCTGAGGGAAAGTCTTTCATTACTGAGACTTCTGTTGGAATTATTTGACCCTCTGAGATCTTATATCTAGCCATGCAACAACTAATTTAAGAAGTGATAAGATATGGTAGTAAGGAACTTGAGACAAAGGGAAGTGGTATAGGGCTCATTTGCAACCTTAGTTCCCCAATTCATAAACCCCACTGTGAGAGAGACAGAACCAGGTATCAGATTCCTAAGTGCACAAAGCTTTCTGTAGAACCTGACTCCATTTCTTCAAGAGCCTGACATTGAACTCCTATCATAACTGCAACATCAAAAGGCCATTCTCTTTCTATTAATTCCATGCCTCAACATGATAGCCAGTTTAGTGTGAATAGTGAACATTGCTGACTAGTTTTTACAACAACTTGACACAGCTAGAGTTATCTAAGAGGAGGGAACTTCAGTTGAAAAAATGGGTCCATAAGATTGGACTGTAGGCAGGCAAACCTGTAGCACATTTCCTTAATTAGTGATATATAGGAGGTTTCAGCCCATTGTGGTCACCGTCAGACTGGTGGCTCCGAGTTCTATGAAAAATCAAGATGGGCAAGCCATGAGAAGGATAACCAGTAGGTCTCCGTGGCTTCTGTATTAACTCTTGCTGCCAGGTTCCTGTCTTGAGTTCCTAACCTGATCTCCTTCAGTGATTATCTCCCATGATGTCTCACCTAATGGCCAGTCTCCCTGAGGTTTAGCTGCCAGGTGAACTCTGGAGGAGATAGTTCCTCCTCACTTCTCTACATTTTCTTTTTTTTATATGATAAACCAGACCACAGAAATTCCTCCTTGTATTTTTTTAATCACCACACCTAACTAGTATTTTACCTAACATAAATTTTAATGTATATTTTTATTGCAAAGCATTCCATTTTTATTGATATTCATAAAGATCTTTTCCCCATTCTTTTCGACCTCTTAGTAACAAGTCAATATTTCCTTACTTGCTCATTCAGTATTTATAATCCATGTGCCGTTAGTTTGAAAACATACTAAAATAAAAAAATAAATGTACTATCTTTCTTGTGATGTTTGCATGTCACATTTAATAGTATCAAGTATCTAAATAAAAGCAAGTACAACAGAGAAAGGTACAAGCCTTATGGAAGATCCTAGAGATTCACGTACTCTTACGAAATGAAACAATCTGAAAGAATTGGTTCCAAACTAAAATCAGAATATGAAACTTTAGGTGTCAGTTTGTTCAAGAAGATGAAGAGAACCAAGTATAGTGGTCTTTAATCCCAGCCATCAGGAGACAGAAGGAGGAAGATCTCCCTGAGACTCTGTCTACAAAAAAGAAGATGAAGAAAATAAAAATGATGCATAAAGTAAAAGATATTAAAGAGAAAGTTGTTTTGTGGGCATATGTCCAAATGAAAACTTCTAAACACAAGGAAAAAGGTTTAAAGGATAATCATTGCCATGTGATATGTACGTGCTCCTTTAGTAATAGATAATTTAGACACTGTATTTGAAATGCATATGATTAAATCTATGCAGAAAATTTGTGTGTACAAAAGATTCACAATTCATATGCATTTCTTAAAAGGCAATGGTAACTCTATTGAATGTAGGCAAATATTTATTCATATGTAAAAAGAACTCTGAAGCAAAATGAATGCAAATTATCCATTTTCATGGACAATTTCAACCATATGGAAAAATAAGCAATGTAACCCTGGCAGAGCCCTTCCTGTGTTTGCCGGAGAGGAAGAGGGCAGCACCATATGCTTTTGTGTACGTTTACCCCAGGAGGGCAGTGCCATATGTTCACACGTATGTCACCCTTCGTGGCCTTCCATACATGGCAGTGTCCCATGGGATCTGCTGAATGGGGAAGAGAAAGCAGGTGTGGTAGGAATATGAGGAGGTGATGTGGTTCCCCTGTTGACAGATTTTGTTAGGCCATCTCTTCTGTTGGCAAGTGCCCAGAACAGCTGCTTTACCCTGGGGCAGAGGTCTCTGTCATGCCACACTGTGCCCAGTCAGCGTGACAGAGGGAGGAGTTCTGGTGATGTGACCTCTGGGAGTGGACATTTCCTCTTGAATGACAGATGAAGAAAATGTGGAATTTCAACATAAGATATCATTGATTTGTAGACTCACTTTTCCTTTATCTGTAAGTACTGGTAAAATATGCAAGTATATATCCTATATAGCTATAATGTTAGTTATATATTACAGAGAAGTGAAATGAATCATTCATATTAACAAGATATAAAATAAATTCAGAGAATTCTATCAAGTTCAGTTTATTATAATTTGTGATTGAGTACCAACATTGCTTAAGGTCAATGAATGATCTCAGACTTCTTGAGTTCATATCAAGGCTATTCATACGTGATAATTTGGCCAATAATTAATTATCCAAGAAATGGTAAAAATAAGAAAAACATCTCTCAAACTCATCCACATATACATACACAGATGATTTGTGATTCACAACTTGCAGAAATTTAACGTGTGTTTATTTAGCTAGAAAGCAGGCATTGGGCATAGTTGAGGCCTACTCGAGAGACCATCTCAACATGCTCTGTTTCCTCAGCACAATCTTAGAAAAATGAAAATTATTTGTATATAGTTTTATTGGTTCATACTGCCTATGTTTTAAGAATCAATATCTGTACAGAGGGGAATTTTTTTAAAGTCTATGAATCTGTTTTCTATTTCAATTAATGAAATAGTTAATGTCAAATTTTCAGTGCTTTCCTTCATATTTTAGCACCTATCACTAATATGGGAAAAAATCAGGAGTAAAGTTAAGAGCTGTGGTTTGCAGATACAACTCCGTGCTTGAGAACACTCTCAACATCTAGATGGTGGCTCACAGCAATCTCTAGTTCTAGGCAGTCCAGCCCTTCTGGCCTCCACAGGAAGCAGACACTTACATGGTGGCGCATATACATGGATGCAAATACTGACACATCAAATAAAAATAAGCAAACGTTTTTGAAGTTAGCAGCTATACCCTAACAGTTAAAGTTATGTTTGGTATCACCTGAGAAAAGTTCGAGCCTCTTACTGACCCTTACTTCTCTTTATTACTTTAAGAGAAAAATAATTGGAAATATATTTTAAAGTAGAGACTGATTACTAGAGAACCTGAAGACACTGTGCTAGATTTACCATATAATTAGAGACTGTTTTCTTATTTTACAGATATAAAACTAAAAGGAAAATTTGGTGACTAGTCTATTTGGCTAGTCAGTAGACAGCAAAGGTCAAGATCTTGCCAAAGTCTATTTTACATTTGAACTGAAATTTACATGTGCGGTGTTGTGTGGCAGTGATATGGAGCTAGAGGAAGCCGCTGACTCCAAAGAGCCCTAATGGACCATCAAGGACATCTGATCCAGAAACCAAAGTGACAATCAGCTGCGGAAGGCAGGGGAAGAAAGTGATTCACAGTATGGCTGCCAGAAAGAGAGAGAGCTCTGGGAACCTAAGCCCTTTCTTCGACATGCCCTTAGAGGTCTGTTTCATGTCCACGTCAAGGATTGGGTGCTTCTGTTGTAGTGGTCTGTGGATCATCAGTACCTCAGCCGTTTTCTCACAACCTGCTCTGTAGAACTGTGCTAAAACAAAGAAGGTCCAGCAACGCAGGCAGTTTGAGCTATTTGTCTTAACATAGTCATCATTCAGTTCAGGGTAACTGAAGGACCTGAAGAGTCAGCAGAAATCAGAAGAAAGGAAATAAAACAAGATGGTAGTCAAAGCCAGATGGCATTAGAAAGGCCATCTGCCTGGATTCTCCTTTGTCAGGCTAATGCATTGATAGTTTCCTTTTGTTTGCCCAGACAGACAAATAGATGTTCTAAGACCGGTGTCAGAAGCTCTGGCACCCTGTCGCAGTCACCTAACAATTCACATTTATGTCATTTTCCTCCGCCGATTTTTACCCCTGATGCTCTTCATTTCTACTGACCTATAATTGTTTATGAAATAATATTCTTACAAAAATGCCTTTGTCTCAGATTATGTGGTTGTAAAGGTTTTAGGATTATTTCTCATACCACACTTTCTTCTCAATGTTATTTGAATATTTGTACACCAAAGTAACTATTAATACTTTAATCTTTAAGTCAATACCTGAGCCACTGGAATAACTACTTTTTGAAAAAAAAAAAAGCTAGCAACACCCTTCCTCTCATTCCTTTTTCTCTGATCTTCTTTGCTAAGTTCCCAGTTCTTGTATCTTTCTACTGCTTGATAGGTTTTCTGAGTTCTCGCAGAGTTTCTCTGTATTTCCTTTCTGTCAAATCCTGAACTCATAAGATGAGAAATTAACTCAATGTACTCTATGGAGTGAATTACAGATAACACTTAAAGTGTGGGCTTTGTAAGATTTCCTCTTGAAAACAGAATCCAGGCCACCTCTACGTTATTTTTAAAATGGCACATTTTAGCTATTTTAAAAACTCTCAATATTATAAAAAAAATCAGACAATTTTAGTTATTTTTAGTACTGCAAAAGATTTTTAAAGATTGATAGAGAACTCAATAAATAAATGATCATTAATCTCTTTTCTTGAAAAATTCACAAAGTAATAGAAAATATCAGTGTATATTGAAATACTTTTAACATCACATGTATTACGTATTATATTCATAAGCCTCAAATTTTGTAAGACATGGTCATTGTCATGAGACAGTATTTTGGTCAACTGACATTTATTAGTGTTCTTATATTTTACATGATGTTAGTATAGCTGTTTACAATTGCCTAAGACTGCTATAATAATTGATCAACAACAAACTCATGTACCATGAATTTCTCAGAAAATATCCCTAACTATAAGCGTTGAATAATTAGATAGTATGAATTTTCCCTAAATGATTGAAATTTTCTTTTTTTAAATATTTTTATTTTACATACCAACCATAGTTTCCCTCTTCTCCTCCCATTGCCTTCCCCCACCTCCTTTCTACCCCATTTCCATCCACTGCATGAAAGGTTAAGGCCTTCCATGGAGAATCAATGAAACCTGGAATGTCAGATTGAGGCAAGACCAAGCTCCCCCCTACTGTATCTAGGCTAGCAAGGCATCTCACCATAAAGAATGGGTTCCAAAAAGCCTGTTCAAGCCGGGTGGTGGTGGTTCAGGCCTTTAATCCCAGCACTTGGGAGGCCGAGCAAGCAGGAGGATCTCTGTGAGTTCTAGGCCAGCCTGGTCTACAAGAGCTAGTTCCAGGACAAGCTTCAAAACTACAGAGAAACCCTGTCTCAACAAAAACAAAACAAACAAACAACAAAAAAAAAAACAAATCAAAACAAAAAACACCACACAGAAAAACACACAAAGACAAACACAAATCAAAAAGCGAGTCCCTGTGACAGATCCTGATAAACAGACCAAGCTACACAACTGTTACCCACATGCAGAGGCCTAGGTCAGTTCCATGTAGGCTCCGTTGTTGACATTCTAGAGTCCTTGAGCTCCCACGAACTCATTCTGGCTGGGATCAGCTGTCTCTGTGGGTTTCCTCATCATGATATTGCTGCCCCTTCCTCATGTTATACCTCCTTTCTCCCTTCGAATGGACCCCCAAAGCTCATCCCAGTGCTTGGCTGTGGATCTCTGTATCTGCTCCCATCCGTTACCGGATGAAGGTTCTGTGAAGACAATGAAGTCAATTTCTTTATGACATGCCCAGTTACATTCTAGAACAATTTTAAAAATAAATACACACACACAAAAAAAAATCTGGCAGTAAAAAACCAGCATACAGGATGAGCAAAGCAAGAGTCTCTCATGAGACAACCGTGGGAAAGATCAAAGCAATTGGCATAAATAAACTAAGACAGGCAATGAAATGCCGCATTTCTTCCTACTTCAGGTCAAGCCACAAGCATGGCGTTAGCGTTGCTGTTGGCAAGAGCATAGCACCATGGAAGAACCTTTGGTGCTGCACAGTTCGTCAGTACAGCATCCTGAGTCACCCGGAAACTACATTCCCAGAGTAAGGAGGAAGGTCCGGAGGCAAATATCCCCCAGCATTCCTGTCTTCAGCCCAATATGTACACCGGGACTGTGAGAGTCCACACACCTATACATGAGGGTGTGACCGCTGCACTTCACTCTTTTCTGGAAATAAAATGAAAGTAAGATTTGAAGTTGGATTTTCTTTAGAGTTTCAGGAGAAATACTTTAGAGGTGTTTAGTAAGTTAGTTCAAAAGAGGAAAGAGATCCAAAGTAACTTTAACTCACCGGATTCGAACTTTAAGTAATTTGCTATGGAAAATCTATTTATACGAACTTCAAACAAATGCAGAAATTCAGAACATTCTGTATTTCCATTCCTCTCACGCTGACCCCTAAAAAGAAAAAAAAATGAAGAAAATATTGAAAGGATGTATTTCATTTTATCTGTTCTCTGCTTCTTTCACTCCCCACTACAAATGAATAATTGCTTTCTCTCTTGAGACAAATTAAATTAACTAATACACAAAAATGAAGGAGCGATGCAGCCCTTGGACTTCCACCACCCAGTCTGTGAGTGATTCATCTTCCAGAACACTTACTGTACATATACAGATGTCGCCATATCAAATTTTAAGTAGACTATTTCCTAAGGTCTTATGTGTAATGGAATTAACTTTAGTACTATTTTAATTCAATTTATTTATTTATACTCTCCATTATCATACTGTTTAAGATAGCTTTATGCATTTGAATATGATCTTTTTAAAAGCCTAGACATATTATTTATTTTTTATTTAAGCAATTTTATAGGCATCACTCCTTTTGACAGAATGTAAACCAATACAATCACTAGATTAAAATACTGATTTGAATGTCTAATATAATCCTATCTGTGCTTTATGAATCTGCATACAATAAGTGCTCTCAAGAATAAATGGCTATTACAGATAGGAAGGAAGTCAAGTTATTGCTATTTGTAGATGTTGTTCCATATGATATCCAAAGGCTCTATCAGTAGACTATTAGAACACAAGACTTACACAATCAACATACCCAAACTGACAGATTATTTATATTCCAATAATAACCTTTCTGAGAAAAAAATCATGGAAATAATCCTACTCATGATATCTATAAAATAATCAATTATGCAGGAAAGCCTAAAAAGTAAAAAACTAATAGAGCAAAGATTACTAATCACTGTCAAAATGAAATTGGAAAACGTACACAAATATTGAAGGCTATCTCATTTGTGATTGAAAGAATTAATATTGGTGAGGTGATCATATAATTTAAACTGATTCACAGGTTTACATGAAATCCTTCCAAGAAATCAATGAAATTTTTCATAGAATAAAAGATTTCTTAAAATGTATATGGAAGAATGAAGCATCATATAGTCAAGCAATGTGGAATAGAAAGGATGAAACCGAAGACATCCCAAAATGCAATTCCAAAACAGTGTATGGAGCCACAGCAACAAACACAATATTAAATAATATAAAATATTTGCAACCAAAAATGGATGCCCATAATTGATAAAACTAGTTAAGAACACAGAAATCAATCTATATCTCTGCAGACTGAGAATTATGCTGGTTACACGTATTGGAGAAAGGACAGCATCTTCAGCAAGGACACTAGGGAAGCTACATAACTACATGCAGAGTGCTGAAACCTGGCCTCTGTCCTTTGTTATATATAAAATAAAGATAATAATAATTCAATCAAGTAATGAAGAGCTATTGATAGAAATGTCACTAGGTTTCCCATATCCCAATAGATGATCCTACACCTGTGCACATATTTACAGTACTAAGTTAATGGACTATCAAAAACAAAATACAACGAAGGACTTGAGGTTGTGAGGGGCTCATGCTGATAAGGAGGCTAGGCAAGTTGGAGGGTAAAGGGGAATAGGTATGACCACATTTGATTACATAAATATAAGAAGTCTTCAAAAATAAGAAAATTTAAGAATAAAGAAATGGGAAAGTAATCTGAATACATTCTTCAAAATGAAAAATACAAAGTCAATAAAAATTAAAAATGGATGAATATTTTTAATCTTCTGAGAATGTAAATCAAAACTAGCAGCAACATATTATGACAGATTGCTTATAAGCAAAATGATAGAAACAACACATGCTATTTCGGTTCTGGAGAAAGGGATGGTATACACTTCTGACAGATGTCACTATAGAGGACAGTACAGAAGTTTCATAATAAAAAATTTCAATATGTTGATGTGGATGGGAGATTGAACAAGGCCCTGCCCATTGGTGAAAAGCTAAAGTTTCATGCAATCATTGACTTCAAAGAAAGGAGACTCCATCTTCTCTAGGGACAAATCCTGTAATAGCTTGTTCAATATTAAATAGACAGCCGTAAATACATGTACATACAAACAATAGTAAATTATCTCAGTCAGGTGTGTGTGTGTGTGTTTGTGTGTGTGTGTGTTTGTGTGTGTGTGTGTGTGTGTGTGTACAATAACTATAGAGCACAGGCTATGTGTCTGAGTGGAAATGGGAGGACACATGGAAGGAGCTGAACAGGGAAGGGTGAAAGTGACACTAATATAATTCACATGTATGAAACACTGACATTCTCAGAAAATGAAAAGAAAAATGGAGAAATACAGAGAGTCATCAGGAACAGCTAGGCAAGATAATAAACTTTCTTTTTCATTACACTCTAGAGTAATATTAGTCAACAACAACAATGTATCTTACCTAACTGTAACATTGCTCCTCAACCACCAAAACTGCTATGATGCTCTCAATAATTTTACACTCTGCTTTTATTAGATTTCTTCTTCTTTTTTAAATTAAGTTAGTTTTCATTTTACACACTAACCCCAGTTCCCTCTCCTTCCCTGCCCCAATCTCACTCCCCCCATCCACTCCTTAGAGCAGGTAGGGGCTCTCTTGGGAACTCATCAAAGTCAGACACACCAATTGAGGTAGGATGAGGCCCCTCACCCCAACATCAATGAAGGCAGAGCATGATATTAAGAAATTTCTTTTTAAATTTCTCTCTCTGTCTTTAAAAATATTTTTCTTTTTCTCTGTATGATCCTGAGCGGCATAAAACTCAATACGTAGATCAAGCTAGTTTCAAACTCAGAGAGATTCACCTGTCTCTACTTCCTGAGTGCTGTAATTAAAGTTAAAAACCAACATGACCAACCGGCAAATTAATTTTTAAGGATTTGAGGTTCTGGAAATGACCTACTAACAATCTAAAGATGTTTTAGTGATAAAAAATGATGAGGATATTGGTGAGCTTTTCCGTGTGTGGTCTCCTGGCACAACAAACAGTGAGAAAGAGATGAGCAAGCCTTCAGCGGTGTTGAATTGCCCTTGTTCCATTCACAAATACCAAAAACAACTTTTCCAAAACACTTTCATTCAAATTGTCATCAAAACTACAAGACTCTTTTATTTTAAATATTTTAGTAGCCCATCAGTAAAATGACCTATGGCTGTCAATCTGTCAAAGCAATTTTCAGCATCATTTCCAAAAACTTAAAATAATGTACACTTATGGACTGTGTCACATTTTATAGTCTCCATCCTTAGAGTGATTGAGCCCATGGAATGTCATTTCCAGCTGGCCTTGTTTCCATACACAGAAGGTTGATTGGCCTCTTGAGGCTCAGGATAAAGGCAGCTACCAAGAGCTAGCTGCAAAATCTATAGCTCATGTCCCTGAAAGAACTATGTGGTGCTTTGGAGCTGGGGTTGCAACAGCTGTGAGGGCTACCAGATATGTGTGCTTTGAACAAAATGTGAGTCCTCTGAAGAGGAAAATGAGTTCTTGGTCATGGAGCAATCTCCCTAGCCCCTCCCATAGACTTTCTGACTTTAGATAAATTATTTATGAAGTTACAACAATAATCATGAATGACCTTTAGACTTTTTAAAATCCTGTTAATCAGCTACATTTGAATATCATTATTCTTCAGGGTTTTTGAAAAGTTCTCTACTATTTTGGTTACTTATCAGTAAGGAAAAAATCATGAGAATCAGTGTCTCAAAATAATATTACTCTATATAATATTCCTGTAACTAACAGTCACATCGTCTCCACACTCTCTCATAAAGAGCCTGTTCCTTTTGTGCTCATTGGTATTTGGTAGGGTCTGTCATGGTTTTGCTCATCATGCATGCTCCACAAGGGGAGTTTGGCATTCTTTGAGCCTGCTGAGTTTTTTTTTCCTCCTTCTCTCTGTTAATTCTTCTTATCATATGGATCTTTTCCATGTGACCTTGCAGTCTTGAGCATTTTAGCTCCGTCTTATTTACTAAATAAGTCACATGGCCAGCATACTTTCAAGAGAAGGGGACACACCCTTGCATATGATCAGAAGAGTAAAATAATACTAAAAATGAACCTGGCCGGTGTTAGTTTAGCAATTTTAAATAATCTGCCTACTGTAAGCAGTAACTTGCATCCTTCTCTCTAGCAAACTACATACTGTCTCCAGCTCATTTTCTCCACCCTTCTTATTCAACTTCAACATTAACCTTAATACTGAACATCTGGTTTCTGGTTTAGGTCTGGGTGGGATGAGAAGGCTCATCTCTGTGGATCCTTGATCTGTGGACATGTAAAATCCAAAGGCATGTTGTCTGAC